TCTAATGAATAAATAAATAAAAAATCTTTAAAAAAAAAAAAAAAGAAAAGCTCATTTGCTCTTCTAGAAGGGGCTATGAGGCCTGTTCAGGAATTGATGCTGCTGCTGTATAACCAGGTTTAGGTTTAGGGAATACAAATAAGCCAGTAATCAGGCATTTGCTATGGCACAGCCCTGGAACACTCTAAAGCCCTCTGATGTGGGAAAAACATGATAAATGGCTCTTGTGGCACAAGTCAGATGTCCATGCACATTGCGTGGCTACTGTGGTTTCGGGATCCCATGCAGTATTAACTCATTCAATGGCATGGTGTATCTGTCACTCTGCAAGAAGAGAACATCCCTCGGATGCTGCACTGTGTTTCAGATTCAGTTTTAATTTAGTTGTATAAGAATTCCATGAGACAAGGAAAGTTGCCTATTCTCACCTAGTCAGAACCTTGGATGGTTGTAATGGCAGCATTTGAGAAGCATTGCAACAGACAGACAGTAACTAAACAGACACACATACCCATGCACACAAAGTTTTGTAGAGAAGGCATAAGTAATTCATCGTCCAACTACAGAAGTTCAACAAAAAAGGAAGGCACTAGAGGTCACTCTTACAATGTAAAGCACATCACTTGAAGCATCCTTCCCTTCAGAAAAGCAGAGCTGAACTCTGGCCTGGACACAGTCCTGTCTTTCCAAGGCACTGCTTATATTTGGGTTAATAATATATGAATAGGATTGATTGATCGTTGTTTGTGTTTGTTTTCTTGAAGTCCAGTAAAAGGCAGCTCGACATTAAATAGCTTTCTTTTGTAATAGATCTTTTTAGTGAAGGGCAGAGGAGCTGCTGAGACCTGAGGAGAGCAGAATATTCAGGAGTGCTTAGCTTTGGCTGGGCCTCTGGCTGACACTTAAAATTTCAACCCTGGTTCTGTATTCTCTCACGTTTGGTTTGTTCCTGAAGTGGTTTAATGCTCTTCTAAACATTTGCAAAACTTAAAGAACCTATAAAATTTTAAATTATTAGGAATTATTTAAATAATAAAGTTGGAGTTCTTGGTTACCATATATATTGAGTTGACAGTTCTTAAAGTGTCAAAAATACAAATAAATGCACTCATCTAATTAAAATTGCATTTAATAATTTCTTGTTAATATCACCTAGATAGTATGCTTTGCAATAATATATATGAGAAAAAATTCATTTCCCAATTTTTGTTTTATTCTTTAATACTCAGTATTTTTTTTTTTTTTTTTAATTTTTGGAAGGAAGCAAGTTCTGCTTACTACCACGTGCTTCATATGTTTTATCTTGTTCGGAAGAACAAGTGTATATGTTTATCATCAAGGCTGGGATTCAGTGTATGGACAAGTGACCATCAACCAGCATAAGCATTTGTATTTTTTGTATTTTTAATTTTTTTCAGCATAAGCATTTTTAAAGTGTTACAGTAACACCAGTAATTCTTTTGGACAAGACTTAATTTTGAAACATGAATCAATCTTGAATACCAATGTTAAAGTCAGGGAGAACTGAATATGAATAAAATTAAAGGTCAGTCTCCCAGGTGAATACAAAGACCTTCTCCCTTTATTTACAGCTGATTCACCAAGAGCAATTCTGTTCTCCACTGAGTCAGCCCCCAAGACGACCCAAGGCTGCCAATGTGAAAGCTTTCATGGGACAGCACTGTAAACCAGGAACAGCTCAGGGATTAGTTGCACTTTAATTTGAATGTTAGTTGATCTAATTAATCAACACCGTAACTTCACATTGGAAGGATTCTGTGCAAATACACACATATACATAAACATGTTCACGTGTATGTGCACGTGTATATATGTAAATAAATCTGTATAAACCACCAGATGCACATGCTCCCACATATTTGGTGGCTTTGCTTACTCCTCACCTGTCTAAAGATGAAATATGTTGAATAAACCACATTCTTTGCCTTCTAGCACCCTGCTTGACACTTCAAAAGCAGTGAACCAGCCGCAGGTCGTTCCTCTTTATTCTGGTCAAGACAAATTTGTTATTATGTTGAGGTGTTCCTTACATGGAAGTTTAGAGACAGGTCTTCCTGGAAGGGCTTGCTCTCTGATACATTGCACAGACTGTTGTTGGTTTCTTCACTTGCTACCAAGAGACATGAATTGAGAAGGGAGATATCTATTTTTATAGTTATTCTTATGGACCCACAGTTTCTTGCTGAACATTAAGATGTTTTTGGGAGAGAGATTGACTCACCACAAAAGAAGGAACAGGTGTATGGACTAGTTATTTTTACTCTTGCACATCATGTGACAAAGGCTTCCTGGCCTCCTGAGTCTTAACTTTGAAAATATTTAATGCTCACCAAGTAGCTTATGAATAACTTAATTAAAAGTTAAGTTCTTTCTTTTATCTAATTGAAAAAAAAGGTTTATCTGATATCTACTCTGACAGAATCATGGAAAGGATATGTTAAAATCAGCAATAGATGAAGGTAATTGCTTGAGTGGATCATCACTCTTGTGGGCTCAGGGATGCAATGTGAATGCAACTGGACAGATTCCCAAATTGTTAAAACTCAGCCTTGTAATTCTTCCCTGAAGCTTCCTGCTTTTCCTTCTTCTCCCAAGAATTTGTTCCCATGGCAAAAAATAACTAGACTGTAACAGTAAAGTACTGATGATAATATAATTATATGATACAATGCATAAATAGCTGGCCTTTGGACATACCGGTGAGTGTGCATTTTGACTCACTTTTCTAACAGCCATACTGATTTGTTTTCTTCAGTTTGGTGCCTTCTCCCCACCTCTGATTGTATGCATCCCAAATAGTTTCTGATAAGGGCAGTCTCCAGCTCTGGGGACGACACAACTCATAGCTAGCTCGGGGTCAAAAATATGACTTTCACAGGACACATAGTGCTCACTCTTAGTAATTAACATTATTGTCTTCTAAAATTTTGGAAATTGTATCACAATTTGTATACAAATTTGTATACAATTGTATACAAAAGGTTCCCTTATGGGACCCAATCTCTATATCAAGATTGAATTAATTTACCTCTTCAGTGAAAACAAATTAATAGAATTGCATAACATCAATTGTAAGATAATGTAATATTTAGCTCAGAGGTTGGCCAAATATGGCCCACTGCCTTGTTTTGTAGGGCCAGTGAGCTAAGAGTGGTTTTTCTATTTTTAAATGTTTGGAAAAAAAGTTTTTTTAATTGTTTGGAAAAAAATTAAGAGAGTTCTTTGTGGCACAAAAAATTTATATTCCTCTCATTGGTAGACCCATATGGCAAAAATTTTTATTCAGTTATTATTATATTTTGTTATTTTATCAACAAAATTTTCTTAAATTGATTTCCCTCTCTTGATATGAAGACCTATATGATATTCTTTACTATCTGGCCTTTTATAGAAAAAGCCCATTAATCCTTGATTTAAATAACATACAATATAATGATGAGACATGGGTAGTATATAAATTATACTGCTATGATCAAATTTAGTCTTAATTATTTAGCACAGAAATACATACTTGTGGAATTGTGGTACTGAAATTAGTAGGAACTCTAACAGAAGAGACCTTCAAATTAGTATCTTCCTCATATGTTTCTTCTTAAAGACTTTATTGTTCAGAAATACTGTTATTTCAGTGGTTGTGAATTACTTATAACTATTTGTAAAGCTTCAGCAGTTTTGGTTGCTAAAGGGGCACCTTCAATCTCAAGTAATCCTGTTAATATAAGAAGTTCAATAAAGTGTATAAGTAATTGCATCTCAGGTATTTTG